CTGGAAAACAGGTCAAGCTCCAACATCTATAAACAAAGGTGTTGATGGCAGCAGCACAGCTGATATTTCTCTCTGGGATGGAGTCACAGCCAAACAGGAACAGACGAGGCATTTTGTTAAAGTGCAGCAGTGATCAAACGTAAACAGTGATGGAAGAGAAAACATTATCTCACATACCAACTAATGGTAACAGCGTCAAATTTACATTTGCATTATACTGAAAAGCTTTTTATTTTGGTATGTGGTGAACAACAAGTTGGGGCAGCACCGAGTTTAACTATGAAGAAATTAATGGTCTGGATGAAACAAATTATTTTGATGGTTTTTATTTATTTTAATACCAACAGTCAAGAATGAAAATAAGCCTAAAGGGAACAAAACTAACGGGTCTATTTTTAAAATGTAAGGAGTAGAAAGTAGAGATAATTGCAAAAAAAAATCTAAGGAGTAGAAGCAAAAAGTTGTCTAAAAAATAATTACACTAATTAAGTACATTTGGCTAAAATTTCTACTGTTACGTGACACTGCAGCAAATTACATTAATATTAATTAAATTAGAAGTTTCTTGAAATCTTCATTTATTTTAGTAGCTGAATATAACAGATGAAGCCTGTTATATAATATCTACACACAAACAGATGTTTACTTTTAATCAGATTTTCTCCTTAAAGCTGGACCTGACATTTAAGATATGACTTCAGACAATAAAAAAACTTTTGAAGTTGGGAACTCTTGGCTTAAACTGTGTTTAATTAAGTTTATCTTTAAAGTTACTCATCCTCATCGGAACCCATTTTCTTATTAATGACTAGAACTACTTTTGACAAAGGTGGATTAACTCTTTTGCAGCTGAAGGCGAAACACAAGCAGGACTTTCTTTCTTATATTTGTCATTTGTTCAACTCCAGCATCTTAAAATTACAAGAAAGTTCAAATTTAGAGATTTGAGAAATATTTTTTTCATGTCAAAATAGTATTTAGTGCAGTGAAAGTGTATTAGTTCTACTTCTAAATACCTTTCAGAATTTGTAAAAAAAAAAAAAAATCATTTTGTTTTAAAATCCATTGGCTAGATCAATATCTAATTAGATTACATTAAATCTCACCCCAGCTCACTCCTGTCATTGGGCCATGGCTTTTTAAAACCACACCTGTAAAAGACAAACCGTACAGAAGAAAACAGGAGCAGGGACAGGAAAGTTGGACTATAAACTTAAACTATATTTCAGTTAAAAGGAGACTCTAAAAATGGGTTATCAACCTAGTTTTAAAGGAAGTGTGGGTCTAAGCTCGTGTACAGTTTTCTGGGAGTTTATTCCAGATCAGTGGATCATAAGAACCAAAAACCGCTTCTCCAAGTTTGGTTTGGTTCTGCAGAGCAGATCTGATCCAGTTGACCTGAGAGGTCTGGCTGCTGATCCACTGCCAACCAGTCTGTAAAGTATTTAGGAGTGAAGCCATTCAGTGATTTCTAGACTAATAGAGTAATAAAGTCTATTCTCTGACATTCAAGGAGCCAATGGAAGGACTTAAGAACTGCACTGCAAAAACAATCCAGAAATAAGTAAAAAATGGCTTAAATTAAGTATATTTAGCCTTAATTTGAGCAGGTAAATAAGATGATTTGCCAATGGAATGAGTATTTTCACTCTTAAAATAAGATAGTTAGATAATATTTACTTGAAACAAGACGATAAAATTGTTTTTCCTTATTTTAAAAGGAAATTGTCTTGTTCCATTGGCAAAGTGTCTCACTTACCTCCTCAAATCAAGGAAAAACACACTTATTTTAAGAAAAAATAACTTATTGAGATTTGTATTTTTTGCAGTGTGGGTTGATGTTCTCCACTTTCTTAGTTGTAGTGAGGACGCAGGCAGCAGCTTTCTGGATCAGCTGCAGCTCTGATCCACTTTTTTGGGCAGAGCTGTGAAGTCACTGCAGCAGGGATTAATTCTACTAAAGATAAACGAAGCAGGAAGTAGTTTTTCAAGGTCCCTCTTGAGACATTCGTCCTTTAATCCTGGAGATGTTCTTCAGGTGGTTGAAGGCTGAATTTATCCCTGTCCTTATGGGCCTGTGAAGGTTCAGGGCTGAGTCCATCACTACTGTCATGATTTTATCAAGAACTCGGACCCACATGCAGAGAAACCATTACAGAGAGACCAGGGGAAAGGTTTAACAGGTTTATTGAGAAGCTTGTGGAGATTCCAGTGTTGC